CAACCGGAAAAATTATTGGAGTTATAAGGCGAAACTGACCGAAATGGTTTCACGTGAACACCATATTCTTTTAATGTGTGTTTATTTTTATATAATGATAAATATCTCATTTTAATGTGCCAATATGAATCTTGAACCATATATGTGTTATGCTTAATTTACTTGATTTATTAGCACTGCTTATGTGTTTTTGAACCTCACTGGGCTGTTTAACTTATTCCACGTTTTTGTTTTTCTTAACAGGGTTCAAGATCGATAGTGCTCGCGAATAGTACTAAGTTGTTTTCTTTGGAGACTTTAAATTGTATTATAACAGATGGTTGCAGTACATACTCTTTTGGGTTGTATTTAATTTTGAAAGTTAACTAATGGTAAGTATGAAATGTTTTGGAGTACTTTAAATGTATATTAAAAATATTTGAAGTATTTCTAGTTTTTGAATTATGGATTATAGTAAGCTCCGACGAGAGTTGGACAGGCATTCTGCGGATATTCTAGAGTTCGCTCTAGTGAAAAATGGGGCCATCACAAATCAATTGGAGACAGTTGGACGGAGGTGGTTCACAATATTGGCAAGGTCGCTATGCCTATACAAGTAAGGTACGTTTGTTGGACTCGGCCGCTGGTGGGAGGTTATAAACTTAATTTTGATGGGGCGCGTAGGGACCAGACTATAGCGGGTGGGGGAGGTATGCTAAGAGATTCGAATGGTCGGATGTTTTTTGCTTTTACTGAATTTTATAGGGGGTGACGTCAGTGCAAGCAGAAGCTAGGGGGTTGTGTACGGGGCTCGAAGTATGTAGGCTATTGGGTCACGCTCCAACTATAGTTGAGGGGGATTCTAAGATCCTTACTGAGGTGCTTCGAGGGTACTGTAGTATCCTGGCTGCGGTGCTCCCGATCATCCGACGTATTCGACAGATATCTGATACCGGCCTCCTGTATCAACATATTTATCGTGAAGGGAATGCGGTTGCGGATGGTTTAGCATCTTTGAGGTGTGAATCTAATGGTTTCTGTTTATACCTCTCCTTCCAATCTTCGCTGAGGACCCTCAAAGGTCTTTATAATGTTGATCGGCTATTAGTCGGAAACTTTAGATACGTTAAACGGCCGTCGATGGCTGGGCGCTAGAACTGAAGCTATGAATATGCATCAGCTCTGTAATTTAGTTTAGGTGTTTCGGAGGTAAGGTCTATGCAGAGGCCCCGTACTGGGCCTAGACACGTGACAGCCCAGGTAAAGCCGAGCTGGGCTCCGGCCCCAGGCTCCTGGCGACCGCCCTGGGCCGCACCCCCGCTAGGGCTCCAGGGGGATCAGGAGACCGTCCCGCAGAGGTCGGAATCCCGCTCGGCGCGGGATTGAGATTATATCAGGAAGGTCTCGGAACGTACGGAGGTCGGACTCTGGCCCAGGTATAAATAGTGCTACACACCCATTGCCCAAGGTACGCGCACACTATTGACAATTGACTCCGGACAGTTACTACTTCCCGTGAAACTCACTCACCGGAAAACTAACTTGACCGTCGGAGTGCCCTCGGGGACAACCCTCGGGCCCCCTTTGTTAGCTCCTCTTCTCTGTTTTGCAGGTCTTGGATCAGCTCTCCCATCGACACCCCGAGCTGATCAGGTCAGCTCTCCTCGGGGAAGCTCCGTGCTTCTTCAGTTGGCGCCGTCTGTGGGAAACGCAAGGTAATTATTGTTGTGTTGATGGCAAGAACACGATCCAAGCGAACCATTGAGAGCACCGGCCTGAGAGCCGGCGAGGGATCCTGGCGGGCGGAGACCGAGGCGGCCCGGGGCGCGGGGGGCTCGGAGAGCGGAGAGGACGGAAAAACCCCCCATGAGGTCCGCAAACGGCTTGAAATTGCGAAATTTGAGAGTGCGATGCTCGACCCCAAGAGGTCGGCACGCCTGTTAAAGACGGGGGGCTTGACGCTCAACCCAAGAGATCGGCATGACCGTCTCGAAGGTGTGATGCTCGACCCCAAGAGGTCGGCACGCCGTGACTTACTTTGAGGCAGCTTGTCAAAACCAGGGAGCACGCTGGCTCGGCCCAGGAGGTCGGCACGATTGCCCTGAGAATGTAATGCTCGACCCAGGAGGTCGGCATGACTGCCTGGAAAATGTGATGCTCGACCCCAAGAGGTCGGCACCTCTGCTAAAATCAGGGAGTTCAACGCTCGACCCAGGAGGTCGGCATAACTGCCTTGGAAATGTGATGCTCGACCCCAAGAGGTCGGCACGTCTGCTAAAATCAGGGAGCTCAACGCTCGACCCAGGAGGTCGGCATAACTGCCTTGAAAATGTGATGCTCGACCCCAAGAGATTGGCATATCCGCTAAAATCAGAGTTCGACGCTCGACCCGGGAGGTCGGCGTGATTGCATTCAAAGTATGATGCTCGGCCACAAGAGGTCGGCACGGCTTGAAATTTTGAAGTCGGAAAGTGCGATGTTCGGCCCCAAGAGGTCGGCACGTTGTGCCTTAACTTGAATGGGTTTGTTTGACCCAAGAGGTCGGCAAGGCTCAAAACTTTAAAAAGTCGGGGGCTTAAACCATGTCAGTGGCAATTTGATGCTCGGTCCCATGAGGTCGGCACGCATTGATCAAGTTTGTCGAAACTTGGGAGTTTGACGCTCGACCCAGGAGATCGGCGCGGTTTTCTCAGTGACAGCACTGTACCAGAGGTGACCAGGGCAGAGCAGTGCGCGACGCTGGTCTCCCACGTGGCAGAGTATAGATTAGGTCTGCCTGGAAGCCTTACCTAATCTAGGGGGCTAGTGCAGAGGCCCCGTACTGGGCCTAGACACGTGGCAGCCCAGGTAAAGCCGAGCTGAGCTCCGGCCCCAGGCTCCTGGCGACCGCCCTGGGCCGCACCCCCGCTAGGGCTCCAGGGGGATCAGGAGACCGTCCCGCAGAGGTCGGAATCCCGCTCGGCGCGGGATTGAGATTATATCAGGAAGGTCTCGGAACGTACGGAGGTCGGACTCTGGCCCAGGTATAAATAGTGCTACACACCCATTGCCCAAGGTACGCGCACACTATTGACAATTGACTCCGGACAGTTACTACTTCCCGTGAAACTCACTCACCGGAAAACTAACTTGACCGTCGGAGTGCCCTCGGGGACAACCCTCGGGCCCCCTTTGTTAGCTCCTCTTCTCTGTTTTGCAGGTCTTGGATCAGCTCTCCCATCGACACCCCGAGCTGATCAGGTCAGCTCTCCTCGGGGAAGCTCCGTGCTTCTTCAGTCTATGCCCTCCTCCCGGCTTTGTACTCTTGGTCAGTTTTATTTATAATAGAAAATTAAAATTTAAAAAAAAAAAAGAGTAATCAAGTAGGAAATATGTGTGCAGATTACTTAACAAAGATGGGAAGAAGCTTGGCTCCAGGAACAACTAATTTTAAGAACCCTCCACATCATCTCAAAAAGCTATTGGGACAGGATGTTTATGGTATTGCTTTACCTAGATTAGTTGCTATGTAACGGGCTCGACCCTCCATTGTAAGGGGAAAAAAAAAGAAGAAAGAAAGAATGAATGAAGAGCATAAAACACCTCTGTTTTGAAGAGAAGTCGGATCGCAATCAGCATCAATCCTTCCATAGTTAAAGAAAGGGAAGGATATTCTTTCTCAAAATGGGAATTGTATGCTATAAAAACGTTTCAAGACTAAAATAACCATCCGAACCATGTTCAAGAAAAAAAGAGACAATATGTAGTTGGAAAGAGATTGCTAATAAGTAGTTTGCAATTGTATGTGATTTTACTAGGGAATTCTTCATTTGAGCAAAACACCTCCTCCTTTCTCATTTGGTGGCAAATATTAACTGATAATTCATGGGTAACAATGTCAACATCTTACTTTTTACAACATTTGACAAGACTATAAAAGGAGATAAAGTAAAGATTTTCATAATTTAGGGCAATAAATTGTGATTGCTCACAATTGTAATTAATCTAAATTTGTATCATGAGGTAGATGCAAGCGCAACAAATTGCTCTATTACCATTGCTACTCTAATAATTCTTTCAATAATTAATTAATGGATAACAATGCCATGTCTATAAAGGAGACAAAATATATAGTTTTAAATAATTTAGAATAGTAAAGTGTGACTGCTCTAAAATTTCAAGTGCAATTAACCCAAATTTTCATTCAGGAGACAGACGCAAGTGCCGCAAACTGTTTTGCATCAGCTGCTGATTCAATAACACTCCATCTCATCAAAATTTTGACCTTTAATATATGCTGTTCACGAAGAAAATTTTGACCCATCCCTTTCGGAATTACTTGGGTTCCATCTCATCAAATTCTAAATCTATGAATTTTTTTTTCCCTTGCTTTCTCTGCAAAAGGTTTTATGATTTTCTTTACAAATGATCTGGTATCATCTTGAAAAGGAAAAAATGAGTGTCATTTAAGCCTTCCAGATGAAAACCTGATTAGACAATAAACACCATTCATTTGCTTTTTGCACTACTTTTTGGGCTCCAGAAAAATTAGATCTTAATATCCAAATATTTGCCCAGTGTCACCACTACCACAAGACGCTATGTACAGAACCATAATCTCTTACCATCATTCGCATATGTCAATCATAATCTCTTATCATCGTTTCCATATGTCAGGAATATATATTCTTTTGCACAAACTTGTGAAAAAGGAACAAACTACAATAATACATCAGAGGATGGACGCAAGGAAGTTCTCCAACGAAGAACCTACCATGAGACCCTCTGAACTCAAAAAGGACACATTGAAATCGTTCTTTTACCTACTTTCCTGTTTTCCACTAAAAAATAAGTACAACAAAAGTACATACATACAAGTACATACATGCAAAATCTACATCAAGGTTCCAGCTTCAATGAAACCACTCTTGACTGCCTGTTCCTCTTTGACACCTTGACAAAGACAACTGAGAGGCATGATGGGGCCCACCATGGTCGACGGACCTTTTGCTCTCCTTTCAAACAAGCCACTGAAAAAATTTTAAATATCAGGGCACTGAAGATGATACCATAAAGGGGATACAGATCAAGGCAGTCGTAATCTTACAAGCACAAACAGTAACGAGGACATTAGAAAGGAGAGAGGGTTTTACATTGGTTCCATGAAATAAAACTAAAAAGGTGTGCTGGTAGATGATATGGGATGTATAATCATAATTGCAATCTCGGGAGCATTGCAGGAGAATTTGTTAGCATTCCCACAACCATCCAATGCACGTCAAACAGATTAATCAATCCAGGGCACACAGCCTTTACTTATAAAGATAATCAGTGGTTCTGAATCACACATCGATCCAGGGCAATCAGCCTTTATCCACAAATATATTCGGTGGCTTTGCATCAGTGCATTACATGCAGTACACAAGAAAAATCAATCTCTCCCCTCTGTCTAATTTCTCCAAAACAATATACACCTAAAACTAAAACTAAGTCGACAAAAAACCCACAAGAAGAATAAAGAGACTAACACGAAGAATTCCAGTAATCCATTAAACACAACAGGATGGGCTTGATAACACATAGATGCAAGACTGCAACTGAAATACATAAATTAAAAATTAAAAAAAATTCCTCAAAAAAAAAAAATCCTCACTATTGTTAGTTGGAAAGGTGGTTTCTCAGTGAACCAGGAAGTGGCAACTGAAATAGTAGTCACGTGGGATTATTGATGGAATGCAGATGACCTGGGAAGCTGGATATAGAAAAGTCCTCGTGGAGACGGATTCTAAAACTGCTCTATCACTTCCGGATCAAGCTGCAATGACTAGCCTACCATTGAATCCGCTGAAGCAGATTACTGACTTGTTGAGGAAAGATTGGGATACTCAAATCAGTCATATTGGGAGAGAGGAAATATGTGCACAGATGGGTTTGCTAAAGGAAGCTTAAGCCAAGAGCTGGGGGTTCAACAGTTATCCACTCCACCTAATACAGGCGGAAGTTGATTGCACTTTGATGTAATGGGGGATCTCCACCCCACGGTTAGTTACCTTGTAATGAGCTGTTTAGCTCTCCAATGTACCCAAAATAAAATAAAATAAAATATTGCTCACTCTTGGTAGAATTGAGCAGTCTTACAAGCCTAGCAACAGTTGGCTTTCCCAGACACAACCATCTCCTCATTAACATAGATGCATCACCATGACTCACATGGGAAACATGAAGTTTTCCACTGCCTATGAGAATCCACAGCACGACATCTAACATGAACATTCTCACAGTATTAGATTTACAAGGGAAGATGAGAAGAATTCCAATTTCTGAATTCTGCAAACATGTTGAATAATGGAAGCAAAGATTAAAACCATTTTCCTAGTGACTGAATCTGGGAAGTAGCACCATAGGTAAAAGAATTTCATATGAAATATAATAAAGTGCACGAATAGTTGTTACATCAGCATTAACGAATTAGAGTGAGAGGGAAAGACCTTTTATTCGCCTCAGCTCCTTGCATAATGTTATAAAGTCCCCCCATTTCATGTGGCACCTTCTTATGAATCGAAGTATCTGTTCAGTTGTAAACATAGACATCCCTTCCAAATACTCTCCATTTACGCCATTCTCTTTAAAGATTTGGCGGTAGCTGCCGAGATTTATCTCTTCTAACCACAAGCCAACGTCCTAAAAAAACAACAAAGAGCATCCAATTTGTCATGAGAATTTCCATCAAAGATAACAGGTAACCAGCACTATAATCACTAGGCTCCACCTCCATTCCCCCACCCCCATCCCCCATCATGCATCAGTTTCACCGGTGTGCTTCGCCACTGCACATCCAGATATTAGAAAACCACCTTGATGTATGAAATTAGGGAGAAGATGGTTGAGAGATGAAAATAAAAAAAGAAATAGGAGAAAAAGGAACCAAAAAAGGAAAAATAATTTTCAATCATAAGGTGATTAGATCTATTAAATTTGTAACATCACCAGCCTTTCAATAGGCAAACCAATCAAAATTTTAAAAAGATCGTTCTTCAACCCAGACATATGATCAACAAACTGAAAAATTTCTCGAATACTCTAGCAACCTCAATTAGATGGCAAAGCATTCTGAGTAAATTGAAGGCATCGTCAATAATTGAAGTCATAAATTAAGTTAAAACTAAATCCTACCAATGGATCCCCTCACACATCAAAGTGGCTCCCTTGTTAAGCACAACAGTCATTCCATTACAAAATATTTGTCGCATCCTTGAAACCTTCAAACAAGAGCAGAGATATAAATGGAAGACAGTCTCAATTATTCTGTTCATAGTCAAAGCGAGGATCTCAGGATCAAAGTTGTCTCCCCCTTACCATTACATGCATTCGCTTTTTTTTTTTTTTGGTTCTAATTCCTTCTTTTCCCTTAGAAGATATTTTTCATATTCTCAACACCTCCAAACATGAGCAGAATATGATAACAGGAGACCGCCAACTACCCTGTGCATAGCCAAAATCAATGATCTCAGGATCATTGTAGTCTCCCCTTTACCATCACAGGCACTGTGGAATATCAATACTATATTGAACAGCACAGTTCCTTTTCTTCTCATTTTCTCCTATTTTAGATATAAATTTAACCTATTTCCCCCTGAATTTCTGAAGCTCCAAAGCTCGTAAGCATATTGTGTTGCATAAGTACTTCATTTACTTAGTATACCAACATCAATATAAATTTTACCTCAGGCCATAAAAGATTAGAATAAAAAGACAGCTTTCATGAATACCAGTTAAATGGTTCACAATTGATCTCTGAAGTTCTTTTATACTAAAAAGCAGCATAGAAACTATGCTTCACTTGTAGATAACAAGCTTAACTAAAAAGAGAAGTTGCCCGAATCAATGATCTCAGGATCATTGTAGTCTCCCCTTTACCATCACAGGCACTGTGGTATATCAATACTATATTGAACAGCACAGTTCCTTTTCTTCTCATTTTCTCCTATTTTAGATATAAATTTAACCTATTTCCCCCTGAATTTCTGAAGCTCCAAAGCTCGTAAGCATATTGTGCTGCATAAGTACTTCATTTACTTAGTATACCAACATCAATATAAATTTTACCTCAGGCCATAAAAGATTAGAACAAAAAAAGACAGCTTTCATGAATACCAGTTAAATGGTTCACAATTGATCTCTGAAGTTCTTTTATACTAAAAAGCAGCATAGAAACTATGCTTCACTTGTAGATAACAAGCTTAACTAAAAAGAGAAGTTGCCCGTATCAAAGTCCCCAATCCATCAACTGGGCTAAAAGTTAACAATGTGCCCAGCCTAATCAAAATTTTGCAGCTTATTCCCCCATAGTGGACTTTTACGGGTCAAACTTTGCTAAGTATTCTGAACTCAGGCATCAATGTTTGTTTAAGTACTACCATGGGCTAAATTTGCCCTGCCTCTAGAACTTGATATAAGCATATCAATGGGCTTCCATCCTCTGAAAACATCCAAACAGAAGTTACTAATGCTTCTTAAGTATGAGATGATCAAGACAAACCAAACAAAGGCATAAACAAGTAAAAAAAACCCATCTAATATGGTCAGAATCAGTAAGAGGACCAGGTATTGGTCATAATTAATCATCTTGCCAAGATATTGCAATTTTCATTCCTTCTCATTGCAGCTAAGAAGATGGGCTTTGCATAAGAAGAAAAATATAAAGGAACTGCTTCTTCTTTTTTCAGGATGTGACATGTTTCAGAGAGTTTAAACTTTTTTCTTTTAAGATTTATAGTTTTTCTCCAACTATAAAATTCATAAAGTAACTTGACAATCATCAAATTAGAGTCTAACATCAAGATATCTCCCAAGAAAGTTGATTTAAAAAATCTTCCAAATGCAATTAAAACAAGCATAGCAATCCAGAATCACAGAGCTAGTCCGGGAACCCAATATAAATGCCGCACATGATTAAACTGGACATATGCCAAATCAGTATCAATATAACCTATAATTACAAAGGCAAAAAGTAAAATGACTTTAGATAGGGTCAATGAAATCAGTTGACATGCAAAATTTTGCTAGCAATGAATTTTAAGTATCCTGCCTTACCCTAGTCACAATCCCCCAAAGAACAAAAATCGGAAAGAAGATTGAACTAACCAATCATCTACTGCAACATCAGCATAGAAGGAAACTTTAATGCTCAGGAAGATGAAGCATCAGATAGCCAAGAAAAACAGGAGAGCAGGAGAAGCACTGAGGAGGAGGAGGAGGAGGAGGGGGGGGGGGGGGGGGGGAGGGGCTGGGAACAAAAGGTCTACTGTAAAAAGAGATTGACATTGCTGAATATTCTCCTGGCTAGCAGAGATCACCCCATTGGGAGATCTGGTGATGCAGTACCAAAGGTATCTGAGTTCTTCGATTTTACTGCCTCAATGCGCATTTAATTCTTGTCTTTCTTTCCCTCATTCAATACTACAACTCTTCAGCTATTAGACTTCAATAAGTTATCCAACACCTGTATAGTTTCACTCACAAAGCAAAACGAAGGAGATAGTCCTCTATAAGAAACTTGAGTTAGCACCAGGAAACTTCTTAAACTCTTATTTACCACAACATATTACAGAGAAGGGGCGAGAGCTGAGAAGCATGGTTTCTCATGTAATCATGGCGCTTTGTGGACCAGAAGAACTCATCCACTTCAAAGCAGCATTAGTTTGACGAAAGCTAGAATTAGCTGATTTTAAGCAAATCAAAACAGGCCCACAGCAAATAACATCTACCAAGCCAGGCTACTAACAGCACCCATTTTGCCAACTTTTCCAGAACATTTCACTACCAAGCCAGAAGAAATGGGCAGACCCTTAACAGTCAACTCTGCTTTGCACACAAGCTCTCCGAATTAACCCAATTTTGCAACAGTATAAACACTTCAAATTTTTTAAAATACCGACTTAATACCTATTCTATCTCAGGTCAAACTAAGGGGAAATTCCCAATTTCTTAAACAACTTTTAAAAATTGCATCTTTTATTCTTCCCATCCCCCAAAAAAAAAAAGGGAAAAAAACCCAATTATCAGAAATGGATATACCAATCAGCAGCTGAAGAAAAACATCTCAGAATTACGAAACCCCCCAAGATCTACCAATCACTAAATTAAGAAGCCTACAAAAACTAAATTTAAAGGAAATAATAAAATATTAATTACCTCAACAGTCCAAATGAAAAAATCAAGAGGCTCCGGTGGCCGTCCTTTGCTCATCTCCCAAAATCAACAAAACCAACCAAAATCTTCTCCCTGTTCTTTCCTTTTCACACCAATCAGAACCTAAAAGCAACAAAAACAGCACACAAAAAGAAATCAAATACTATTATGAACAATAATAACTCAATCAAGCAATAAAACAAATCTTCTTACTCCATCACCCCACCTGTGAATAATGCTATGTGATGATACTATGATGGGATTTTGATTCTGCACATTTGGGGCCTGTAAGCTGTGAAAGTGGGACTGAAATGAAAGAGAGGGAGGAGGAGTTGAGACGGCCTTTTTATGGCTTTTGGCTTTCACAAACTCTCTTGTTTGAGTGATGGGATGAGTGTTCAGTCTTGACCACTACATTTGTCCGCTCCTTTAATTATTGCAGCGGTAGTTGTTAAAATTGTCCCGATGATTATTTTGATTATGGGCCCGTTTAACTTTATTATTGTACTTAGAATTATTTCAAGTATTTAATTAGTCGGATTGAGTGGATTAATTTGACCATTATTTAGGTTAATTATTTGCCTCTTTCTATGATTGATTCGTGTTATGTACCAAGGGGTTTAATTTTACCCAAATCCAGATCCGAATTCTATCCATTTCATCCATACCCAATGCATATGTGTGTGATATGATCTTTTTACTCACTACAAATTTTAAAAAACTTTATTACCTCACTTCCGCAATTGCACAGTTCGTTTATTGAATATAGAGATGATAGATATCGATCCCAAAAAGACTTAGAATAAGCAATCACTTGAATTTAATTATTTGCTTATTATTTAAACAATCAAAATTAAGGAAGTACAAAAACAAAGAGAGTTAATTAGGCGCTAAAACTGGCCATATGACATAATTAATAAATATAAAACCAACCATATAAGCAGCATGTTGCAAAAAAGTAAATAAAGTAAAAATAAGTGAGATTAGAATTGCTTAGAAATTAAGTGAGAATTTTAGAAATTAGAATCTCTTGTTATGTCAAAATTAGAAGTTACTTAAAAGTAGTTATACTTATGCTTCCATGATTGTCAATGAATAATTTCAAAATATATGTCCTTACTTTCACCATGGAGATTTTTAAGAGAAACTGTCTTAATTAATTTCTCTAGAAATTGTTTTTACTAATTTCTTTAATTTTTTGAATCGCCCTTCACCTATCTTCAAAGAGAAAAAATATGAAACAAATTAAATAAACTCAATGAAGGTATTGTATGAATCCAACCAACCATTATTCACTACTTTCGTGAGAATAAAGCTAATATTTAAGAACTTAGATCTATTTGAAGGCAACTTTCATTATTTAACAATTATCAAATCATTCATATTTGATGTTCAAACAACTATAAAATATAAGCACAAGTTCTCAAACTAACAAATCATGAAAAAGTATAATTGTTCCCTAACTATTTCAAATTAAAACTATAACAAATTCACCTTCACCCTAGGATATGAAAATGTTTAGTTAGATATCATATTAAGATCATCTAAACATGAAACAAACTTGTAATAAAGTATGACAAATAAGAACAAAAGACAAAGTTTAGAAAGCAGAATTTTCATTTAATATCTTGAAGTTTGAATTCTTAAATTCCCTCACAAGTTGATCTCTCAAATAAGTTTGATACAAGAGTGTTTTTGTGAGGGCTCTAAAAAAAATTTACTATTTTTGAAAGGTAAATAATAACGATGAAAATATTTATATTATGTGATTTTTGCCAAAATTTTGGTATCCTTATCTATCAAAATGTCATTTTATATCTTAATTGAATTTTTATTATTAGTTGTTCGGTTATCATTTGTCTAGTGTTAAGTGTGAAACTTTGGAGTGGTGACGTGAAATTTAGTCTTAAAATAGAATCTAGAGCATGTAGAGACTTTAAAGACATAGAAAAATGATAGGATAATGTTGGTTGAGAGAAATCTAGTTATAGATAAGATGTCGCATGAGAATGCGACACATAAGAGAGTAGGTGAGGTGGTCCCCCTACCACACTTTAAAGGAAGAAACTAGACTTGAGAGTTCATTCTCTCTCTTCCCCCCTTGAGCCAACCGAAATTTTGAGAGAGAGGGAGACTTGAGAGCTCTCCATTCCTCCTCCATCTTACTCTTGAATATTACTTAAAAACCCATCAACCACCACAATTCTTCTTCTTCTTTTTCTTCTTTTCTTTTGAGGGCCGAGAAAGAGAGAGAACCGAGGGAGAGAGAGAGAAAGCCGAGAGAGAGAGAGAGAGAGAGAGAGAGAGAGAGAGCAACCAAGAGAGAAGGCACACCATCCATCTTGCTCTTTGTGGATTTCTGGAAGAAATCACCAAACAACCTAGAAGATGTGACCTTTCTTGAGGAAACTTGAAGGGGTGAATCTTGGAAGGAAGTTTTGAGGTTGAATCACGCTAGATCTAGTTAGATCTTGAGGTAAGAACCAAAAAGCACCTTTAATCTTTAATTTCTAGCCATGAAAATATTAGATTCACTTGATTTGAGTAAGATCTATGGTAAATCTAGTAAATTTCTTGAAGTTATACCACTAGATGTTCTAGTGGTTAAAATACTAGCATAGCTCTTGATTTATGGGTTGGATTTACTTGGAAATTTTACCGTTGATAACCCAGGCCTAATGATTGATGAAGGCCATATGGATTTGAGTGAGTTTTTGTTGGCTAAATGATTGTTTTATTGGTGAAATTCTTGAAAAATTTTTGGATGGGCTAGTCGAATGAAGAGGGTTAATTTTCCACCTTCATTTGCAACATTTTTGTGTTCCTTTTGTCTAAATTTCACTCAAGTGACTTGGTATTAAATTAAACTATGTTTATATATTGAATTGGAGTTGAAAGTTAGGAACTTTAACGGTTAAAAGTCACTTTATTTCACTATTTTTGGGCTAAAAACTATCCGGGCAACAATGGTGAATTTGAGACTGTTTTGCCCTTGATTTTTTCACGCATTGAATTTTGGGGAAAACTATTCTAGATACATATTGTTTTCATAACTCAAGCTTACGTGTCGAGTTCAAGTGAATTTGGTTTAGTTTCATGAATTGTTGGGGCGAAACTTATTATCTCTTTTTACGTGTTTATAGAAGTGATTGAAGACTGTGATATCGATCCTAACTTAGATTCTGAGCTTTGATTTATTGGTGAGTTTCCATGCATGTTATCTGTCTTGAATTTGCAAATGTGACATAGATGTGACTTGATATTGTGACTGAGATTAATAGTGTTTTGAATTGTTGAAGTGTTGTGATGTCGTCTAGGTTGTTATCCCATTGACAATAAGTGACTGAGTGTGCATGTTAATTCTTGAAAATTCTTGAGTCCTATAGGTAAATCTGTCGATTCGAGCCAGTCATGGGACTTGGTCAAGGAGATTTGACGAGCCATAAGAGAGTGTTTATATTCATTGGACTTGACGTTTAGACTTGTCCCTTTTGAAGTGAAAACTACCACCTGAGCCACATACCTTTTATCACCCTGCTACTGAGCCATTCCTGCCAGACCATACTATTCAAACCAAGCCAGAAATGGGGGAATCTTTCGCTCCCGTTGATATGAAGCTGCTTAAGCGCCTTGACTGTTTTGATGAATTTATGAGGAAAAATCAAGGGTTGACCAAGCAAGGAGTTCTGGATTACGACGAGTTTTGCCTTTTTCCGAATGTGCAGTTGCCTGAAGGGTTCAAAACTCCTAAATTTAACAAGTATGATGGAACAGGCAATCCCAAAACACATCTCCGGCTGTTTGCTAACAAGTTGGGAAAGCCTGTAGACGACGAGAATTTGCCTTTAAGGTTATTCCCCGAAAGTCTGGAAGGCGATGCACTTGACTGGTATTCAACTTTGAAGTCTGAGGAGATAAAGACCTGGTTGGACCTGGCCAATGCGTTTATAAGGCAATACGAGTACAATTGTGAGCTAGCACCGACACGGACCACACTAGAGGGAACAAAGAGGAAGCCATCTGAAGATCACAAAACCTATTCTAAAAGATGGAGAAAAATAGCTGCAAAGGTTGAGCCGTCAATGACTGAAGATGAAATCATTCGCACCTTTATTAAAGCACACGATCCCCCGTATTTTGAGGAAATCTTTCGCATGACTGGATGCTCATTCGCTGCTATTGTCAATAAACTTGAAGAGTACGATGACTTTGTAAGAGTTGGGAAGATTGTTAATGTCTCTGCCCTCAAATCCCAGTTGGATGCTTTACAAGAACAAGGGAGTAGTGGGAAAAAGCCGCAATTTAAAAAGAAAGAGGGGGAAGCTGCCTTCATATGGGACCAAAACCCTACACCAAGACCTAGATTTCAACACAAACCAACATATTCACCACCCTATCCCTACTACCCAAGTCCTCACCCTGTCTACAATACCAATATCTCCTACCCCCGACCTCGCCCAAATTACATCAACCCGCCTACGGCCCCTTTTCAAATATCTCAACCTCACTTTCAACAAACTCATCCTCGACCTCCTTACTACCAAAGATTTCCCCCACCAAACAGACCCATCTACAACTACCCCCAACCTATTGAAACCTACGATCAAAATCGTACTCGAACATTCACCAATCTTGGCAGGTCTTTGGACCAATTGTACGAAAAATTAAAAGCCGCCGGTAAAATCGGCGAAATTCCCCCTCCAACTTACCCTCATGGCATCCCTGCCGGATACAATCTACAGTACACTTGTGCCTATCATTTGGGAGCACCTGACCACCCAACTACTGATTGTAGAGCACTTAAACAGAAAGTCCAAGAAATGATCGAGGCGGGGGAAATAGTGATTAGAAAAAGTGCAGAACAAGGACCAAATGTGAGTAAAAATACCTTACCAGACCATGCTGATACCGTGGGAGCCATGATTACAAATGAAGAATTTAAAGACTTGGCTCGAAGGAGCTACACGCAAGGATGAAACGTTAGGCAATGCAGAATTCTCACTCATCCCTAAAAAAGCTTTGCACAATCGGAATGACGAGTATCTTCCCTCTTGAAGGGAATTTTGGTAAATCTGGGGATTGTCATTTGCTAAAAATTCATGAAAGTTTTCACTGTTTTTGTGTAAATAGCTTTATTAGGTTCAAGTTTTGGCTAAAACAGTTTTCATCAAGCTCCTGTGTTTTCAATAGCATGCATAATTACATCTTTTCATTATTTTGTTTGTTCGATACCATTTTGTTTATATTGGTTGATTATCATTTTCAATTTCATTCTAAATTCTTTCGATGGCCAAAAATAAAATTATTTGACCCTTTGGATATCACTGTTCTGGAATCCGATGATGGCAATCTCGATATCACTCACGACTTTGAGATTATGGAATTCGAGTTTCAAAATGAGAGTGATAGTGAAGAAGTATCTGATTCTTTTTCAAAAAACAAGGGTCTCGA